GGAAGTACGCACTTATCTATGCTAAGAAATCTGGAAGATAGCTACCGGGCCAACTGACTGTAAGAGATCCATATTTATACCTATTCTCAAGAAAGGTGATCCAACCGAATGCTCAAATTATCAAACAATATCATTAATTAATATCACATGCAAGTAAAACTTTGCTGAAGTTCATTCAAAAGTGGCTGCAGCAGTATGTCCACAGGGAACTGCCAGAAATTCAAGCCAGATTCAGAAGAGGACGTGGAACTAGGGACATCACTGTTGATGTCAGATGGATCCTGGCTGAAAGCAGAGAATACCAGAAAGATGTTTACCTGTATTTTATTGACTATGCAAAGGCATTCGATTGTGTAGATCATAACAAATTATGGACAAAACTGCAAAGAATGGGAATTCCAGAACTCTTAATTGTGCTCATGAGGAACCTGTACACAGATCAAGAGGCAGTTGTTTGGACAGAACAAGGGGATACTGTGTGGTTTAAAGGCAGAAAAGGTGTGCGTTGGGGTTGCATCTTTTCACCATACATATTCAATCTGTATGCTGAGCAAATAATCTGAGAAGCTGGACTATATGAAGAAGAACGAGGCATCAGGATTGGAGGAAGACTCATTAACAACCTGTGTTATGCAGATGACACAACCTTGCTTGCTGAAAGTGAAGAGGACTTGAAGCACTTACTGATGAATATCAAAGACCACAGCCTTCAGTATGGGTTACACCTCAACATAAAGAAAACAAAAATCCTCACAACTGGACCCATGAGCAACATCATTATAAACGGAGAAAAGACTGAAGTTGTCAAGGATTTCATTTTACTTGGATCCACAATTAACATCCATGGAAGCAGCAGTCAAGAAGTCAAAAGACACATTGCACTGGGTAAATCTGCTGCAAAAGACCTCTTTTAAGTGTTCAAAAGCAAAGATGTCACCTTGAAGACTAAGGCGCTCCTTACCCAAGCCATGGTATTTTCAATCACATCACATGCATGTGAAAGCTGGACAATGATAAGGAAGACTGAAGAAGAATTGACATCTTTGAATTGTGGTGCTAGAGAAGAATACTGAATATACCATGGACTGCCAGAAGAATGAACAAATCTGTCTTGGAAGAAGGACAGCTAGAATGCTCCTCAGGAGCAAGGATGGTGAGATTATGTTTTACATACTTCGGACATGTTGTCAGGAAGGATCAGTCCCTGGTAAAGTACAGGGTCAGTGAAAAAGAGGAAGAGATGGATTGACACAGTGGCTGCAACAATGAGCTCAAGCACAACAACGACTGTGAGCACGGTGCAGGACCAGGCAGTGTTTCACTCTGTGATGCACAGGGTCGCTATGAGTCAGAACTGACTCAACGGCACCTAAAAACAAGACAGGAATGTTAATAGCCTTCAAGGGTTTTTTTTTTTTTTTTTTTAAATCATTCTTTATGACTGCTGAACAAGCCTCTAATTTCCTTCTTTTAGGTTTCCTTTCAAATTTGTTAGTGGCAGTTCCTAACCTTACCTAAGTCTAGAACACTATTCCTTTACTCTTACTGAGCAGACCTCTTACTTTACAAGGAAGAGTAAGGCCACTTGATACACTCCATCAACTTCCCTTCTGTCTACTTTAAACTTTTTCTCTATATTCCCCATTGGGTAAGGGGCATGTCTTTCTCTGTCACCATTCTTTTGTTCAAGTGTATATTCTCCTTTGTTCAATAAAGTAGTTTTTTCACGTGTCCCTGAGTTCCTATTTGCCTCTCTATGTACCCTACCAACTACAGTCTACCCGTACTATACCCGCTGCCATCAAGTTGATTCTGACTCATAGCTACCCTACAGGATAGAGTAGAACTGTCCCACAGGGTTTCTAAGGAGTGGCTGGTGAATTTGAACTGCCGACTTTTTGTTAGCAGCCAAGCTCTTAACCACTACGCCACCAGGACTCCAAGTCTAGGATCCACTTAATACCTAAATATACCCACTTATTTTTCCAACACCATTTTTTGAGCACCTAACAAGTACAAGTCACTGAATTACTAGCAGAGATAAAATTAAATAAAATTCCAATCCTCCTTTCAGGGAAATCACAAACTGTGGGAAAGACGAATAGGTAAACATACAATTAAAATCTAGTGTAGTAAGTGTTAGGAGCAAAGACATGTATAAAAGAAAGAGAGCTTAACTCTGCTTAGCTGGAAAGAGATTTTATTATATCTTTATCAAGCCCACCCTCTCTGATGGGCTCTTTTCTTCTCCTCTTCTTACAAATAGGCTCAGGTCTCCTCTAACTTTAAACAAACCATCCCATGACATGTAAGCTCATTCCACTGTCATCTCCTTCACTAGTACATTTTATGAAAAGATCACCTATACTCATTGTCTGCACATCCAATCCACTGTCTTGTATTCATTCCTTAAGTAGGTATAACCTGGCTTTTGGTTCCCACCACTACACTGACACATCTCACCAAAGTCAAAATTGAGTATAATCACTCAACATATCCACTCACTTTTTCTCAGGCCTTGTTTTACACAACCACTCTGCTACAAGGGACTCTGTGGACATCCCCTCTTCTCAAAATTCTTTCCTTGACTCTTCTGATATTTCACTTCCCTAATGTATTTCTTCCCTCCCTTCCCATTTCTGTTCAGTCTTCACTGATTCTACCTTCTTCTAGTGACAGAGACACATTAGCCAACATTCCATTTTGAGACAGTACCTCCTCTCTCCATCACTTTGTTTTTTTCTCTCTCCACAGCAAACTCATGATAATCAGCTATAAAGCAGGATGGAATTGAGAAAAAAAATCTTAAGAGTCAGAATGCCTGTCTTCAATTTCTGGTTCTACCAGCTGTGTACCCATGGGCATGTCATATCCTGGGACTCCATAAAAGACGGGGATGGGTTTTTAATGTACCTTCCAATTCCATAGTCTGACAGTTCTCACTGGAAAAAGGACATATTTCTAGTCTTAACTTCTCTAATGAGTTACAAATCCATATTCTGTGTGCCACTTAAATGTCCTACCTCTAAAACTAATCTCCCATACCAACTACTTCCTTTAAGTTGCCTATTAATGTTTATGTACTGGTGCCACCGTTATCATAGCTTAAAACCCTAATAATTCTATACAGTTTCTGTATTTTATTCATGCATTCTCTTCTCCTAATTCCCACCCTTCCCTTAGTTCAAAGAGCATCTTTTTCAAGACGCTCCTTGGCTTCTCTAGCTGAACAGTCTCTCCCTCTTTAGAAGTCCCAAGATGTTCTGTCTGTGCCTCTCTCATAACACTTGGCTTGTGTTTCCCTTTAGACCCTGGTTCTGCTGGAACAAGATTTAGACCTGATTTATCTTTGCACCCTCAACAGCACCTTGAGCACTGCCTTGCCCAGAGCAGGTACGCAAAAATGATTTAACATTTGAATTGAATTAACTAAACTTTATACTCAGTAGAAGCAATAGTTTTCTTCAGTGATTATTTTCCTCAAGAAAAAATAACTGTAAAAGGATAACGATTTAGATGTTCCAGTTCTAAAATACATATTATTATTCTTAAGGAAGAAGCTCCTCTTCAACTCCCTTAAGCTTAAGCAGAAGCTCTTCTTTTTTTTTAATTTTTTTTATTGTACTTCAGGTGAAGGCTTACAGAACAAATAGTTTCTCATGAAACAGTAGTACACATATTGTTTTAGGACATTGGTTAACAACCTCACAACATGTCAACCCTCTAACTTCTCAACCTTTTTTTTTTTTGGTGAAAATACAC